CCCCAAAACCCCAAAACCCCAAAACCCCAAAACCCCAAATAAATTAAGATTGCGATTAAACATTTAATAACTTAAAATAAATTGATTTACAAAGGTTTTCTATGTGCTGTTAGAATTATATTCAAATATATTTATCTGTTGCCTTTGGTTTTTTCTCCCATTCAACATACTACTGATTGAGTAAGTCAGCCTCTTATTTATTGTATTTTTTATGTCTAACTAATGCCCCTAATCTAGGATCAAACAGTTAAGGAACACTTTTTGCTGGCCACCAGTTAACTATAACCTCCCTATAGGTGGATAGCAATACTTTTACAAATGACTTAGCAAACTAATCATCCTTAAATAAATAGGCTCTCATTGTGAAAGGAATTTCTAGTTGAATACTAGGGATTCCGAGTACAATTGCTTGTTCATTCATTGTTTTTAAATCTCCACCCCAGTTGCCATTTAAATATGGATTTTCATTGCATTTAGCTTCAAATCCCTTATATTTTGGTATATTTTTTAGAATTTCATTAAACCCACTCTTTAGCTTATTTATGAATGCATTTAAAAAATCTTATTCTCCATATCCTTCCCAATGTTTCACAGCACATTCTATACCTAAGTCTAAATCATAACAGTCCTTTCTATCTAATTTGCCATGAATATCAATGTGAAATAAAGGCACTCCCTATTGAAGGTCTTGTGCAAGATGCAAGTACTGATGGAATGGTGATTCCATTATATTACCAGAATATAGATAATTTGGATCGAGATCAACTTCGTTTAATTTGTGATCTTTACTCCAGAAACAGAAAGAGCCCAATGGTCCTGGGCTTCTCCCTGTTTTTGCATCTTTAGATTAATTGCCAACTTCTATTGCGAATTTCAATGCTAAGGCGCTAGTATATTTTTCTCTTTAATGAACTCTTCTCTTTTCATCATACTCAGCACCTCCTCTCTTCAATTTTCCTGAATGAGGAGCCGTAAAGATTATAGGTCCATTAACTGAAGCTACATACTTAGATACGTGATTTTCGCCAGGATTTATTTAATTTCTCGATTCCATTATTATTTGTATAAATATATATATATATAAAATTTCCTTAATTTAAGCGAGTCACACAGATGTTTGAAATTCATATGTTTTTTAATTGTTGGGGTTTTGGGGTTTTGGGGAGATCGGAAGAGCGTCGTGTAGGG